TATATATATATATATAATAATTTTCTCATAACTTCTGACATTTATAATAATACGTGATGTGGCAATAAAGTTTCGTAAATGTTAAGAGAAAATAAATACAACTAAACTAATATATAAATGATCTTTATCATTCTTCAAAGTAATTCTTTCTAGAGATAATACACTTCAGACAAGATTCATATAATTCGCGGAAACTCTGTGAAAAGTCATCTTTGAATATCACCTTAAGTTTCATTATTACACATTCTCAAATAGAATATAGAAATCAAAATAATATCATAAGAACAACATCATGATTTCATTTATTAATTAAGTTATTTTTAAGTTTATTTTTTTTATATATCAAATGATGTCCTATGATATGACTATGAATAATTAATTATGGCTTTGATTCTATATCTGGGGCAGGTTCTGATTAAAAACAAAATGTACAGCAATTTTTGCTCCAGCAGACTTTTTTTGCTTCCTAAACTAAAGGAGGTGATAAAAGGGACTTGATTTACAAACATTTTGAACATTCAAAATTATGTAATAACAAGACTTAAAACAATATTCAAAGATTTTCACAGAGTTTCCTCCAGCTATTATATTGTCAGAAATATATTGTCTCTAAAGAGGATTACTTTGAAGGATAATAAAGTCACTGAAAGATAATAAAGATCATTTGTACATTAATTAAATGATATTTATCTTCTCATAATATATTAGGTGTAGCAAAAAGAAATCCATTATTTTTGCATGAAATTGAATGGAAAAATAATGGATTTCTTTTTACTATACCTAATATAACATAACACTAAACTTTATTACACCACATACATAAAAATATACAATAATAATCTATTTTGTAGATATCTTTCAATGCAATTTACAAAATTGCAGACAAAATATTAGTTCGCGAATACCAATAAATATGAAATATTTTGTATTCCGAAATTTTCATTTTTTTTTTGTAATATTAATTAAAATATTTTTCAATATATATCCTTTTATTTTTTATTATAT